TTCAAAGAGTGCTTAAAGCTTTACACAGTGTTTCATGCAAAAGGGGTTCCCAAGTTTCTTAGTAAAGATTAGATTTAGCAGCTGAGGCATGGAATAGGGCCTGTAATCTTTGTTTTGGTTAAAAGGGAACCAGTAAATACAAGCAGGGTCTGCCAATTGTTGATAAAATAATTAATACTTTCCACTAAAATAGCACAGTTCATACTGGGACAATTACTGAAAGGAGAAAAATGGTATAATTATCAATGGAGCCAATGCCAGTGGCCTATTAAGCCAGCCACCCCTTAATTTGAAAAGGAGAATTTACTGAGAAGTAGATTCTAGTAAACAATAATAATCGACCAGATTCTGTTACTCTTAATCATGTTGAATAGCACCTAACTCCAGGAGTCAGCCTATTCACTTCAATCAAACTGCTTGTGGAGTAAGGGGCTACAAAGGGAAAGTTGCACCAGCTTAATTTAAATAGGTTTTTGAACGGGTATAGTAAAACCACTGCCAATGCCTATAGGGTGACCAGACAGCAAACATGAAAAATCGGGACGGGGGTGTGGGGTAATAGGAGCCTATATAAGAAAAAGACCCCAAAATCGGGACATCTGGTCACCCTAAATGCCTGTGTGAACATCCCTATTTCAGTTTAACTTAAACCTGTTCCCAACTGATTTAAAGTAAAGCCATTTTTACACCACATATAGGAGTTTGCATTGGTTTCACTATTCAGTTTAAATTCACAGTTTAGGTTATACTAATGCAACTTTCCTGTCTGGACAAGGTCTCAGTGTTGGTAAGGATGTCAGAATCAGACATAACACTAATAATCCTCATTTGACATTTCCTTTCTCACCTTTTTGACTAGAACGTTTACTAAAACTAAAGGAAATCTCTCATAAAAACAAGCAGAAGCCAAACAAAACCTTGGTTCGCAACTGCTGGCATTTCATTTCACTCCCAGGCTCTTTCAGAGCTGTGCTGAGGTGCCCTCTGAAAGCTATATTATTAGAATTTCCCTCTTCCCTTCTTTTGGGGAAAATTCTGCACTTCCGATTGGGCAGAACACCACAGTCACACCCAGCCAAGGGGAGATTCTATTTCTAATCAATTCAGCTGACTGCTTGTCTTGTGAGCAAAGCTAAAATGGCAAAAAGCTTTTTTTTAAAAAAGAAGCTAAGAGCCTGATAAAACTCTGTATGGTACATGCAAATTGACACTACAAATATCCAAACTTGGCCAATTTCCTGGGACCTGAACATTTAGCTGAATTTCCCATGTAAGCAGTCTAGAGACCCTAAGAATTTTGCTTTATTTGAGATGTTTTTACTATCACCCCCAACCCAAATATAAAATACATTGCCAATAAAGTAGATCAACGAGGTGTGATTTTCAGGTCAAACATGAAGTGATTATCTCTCTCTCTCTCTATATATATATATATATATATAAACGGTGTATATAAAATCAAGAACATGTACAGTACAATCAAAAGTTCCCACACTTATCTCCAAATAAACACAACTGGGTTGCTGTTAAGGAAATAGCCCAGAAGGGTTATCTGAAATAATATTATGTTACGGACAACTTGGCTGCCTTTTAAAAAATTTGTAGTTATTTGTTCTATCATCTGCTGCAATTTCAGATTGGACTTTAGCTTTTCAGTTAATTCAGTTCTCAAACGCTGGAACGTTCCTTTGGCTCAGATTTCGATGAAACCTGCAAAAGCAGAAAAACCTGTTTGCCTTCTGCCAGGATGCTTTTAACCTTCTAGGTTTTGAGGAATAAATTGGCAAATTGGAGGCAGAGTTTTAGCTTTTCCCTTGCAATAAAAAAAAGTTAAAAGTGAGCTGGAGTGTTTTAAACACTATTGAAAGCCCTACTGTAGCAAGGCGGAGTGGCCTTCCTCTGACACAGACAGGGAGGAACCACTCCCTGCCCCCTGGTGGGCAGAGCCAAGCCAGGCATCCCCTTATGGTGGAAGCAGAGTGGCAGAGCGGGAAGTCTAAGAGGCATGGCCTCCAACTATGTTAAGGGGGAGCCAGGGAAGGAGTTGGATGCTGCTGCCTTGTTGCTGGCCATTAACCAAGGACTGAGCTGTACCAACCACTGCCTCTTGAGGAGCTGCCACCCAGCAAATACCCCGAGCAATGACACCCTATGATTGCGTTTGCTGAAGCCATGGTCAGCGTGTTTCGGCAAGATCCGTGCTGACCCAGTGGCGGGATTCCCTGCCACTGTCCGGGCTGGGACCCAGTGGAATAGGGTAGGTCTGGGTCTCCCGACTCCTGCTGCCAACCCTACCCCTGGGGTGGCAGTCTACACCTGAGGCCATCTGTCCTCCATTTCTTTGCTGCCTGCCCCCGCCCAGAGGGCTGGCTACAGACTGTTACTGGTGCTGCTCTCCGTTGATCGTCTCTCAGCTGTTAGGTGGCACAGTGAGGCTGAGTGGCCTCCCTCTGATGCAGACCGGGAGGAACCACTCCAAGACACTACACCTGCACAGACAGATGCCTGGGGAGAGCTAAAATTCCCTTGAAAAGTATGGCCCATGCAATTACGTGGCTTTTATAGCAGTACCACAAAGCGTAATCAGGTCACTTTGCATAATACGGTGGTTACAACTACGGAAGCAATGATGGAAAATACATGCCCATTGCAATCATGCACATTTTGCCTGTGAATTTGCACATGCAGGGATCTGAAAATCTGGCTGTGTATGCTTTAACTTTATCCTAAAATTAATACAGATATTTAACATAGCTGGAGAAAAGCCACTCAAAAATGTACAAAAAAATGTGAACACTGGACAGCCTAACCCCATTCATTCAACTGTCTGCTAACGAAAACCTCTGGTTAAACAAAAATCACTCGTGTGACATATTCCTGACAGCTGAGTGCAGCATGCATTGCTCTCGTGCTTGTTCACAACTCATTTCCCCGCATTTGCATTAAGAATCTTGCCATGATGGCATGTCAGTGCCATCTAAACAGGTGCAGGGGATTCAAGGATTTCCCATACTCCAATGTTTCTTTTTACAAAGCTGACCTTTTCACACAGCACCATCAGAAGCCACTATAGCTTGTCAAGAATTTAGTAGCAAAGGTCACAATCCTGCGAAGTACTGGGTGCCTCCTGAGAGACGCTAAGTGCCTTTGACTGGAGTCCACGGAGCCCAGGAGTCCACAGGATCAGGTGTCATAAATCTGTGTGATGATCCCAGCCGATTTTCCCTCTTCAGGACTCTTACTGATAGTGGGTAGAATTTTCAAAAGTGCCTAAGTGACTTAAAAGCATAAGTCCAAAATAGCTCAAAGTTGATGACCTTCAGGGCATTCTGCAATAGACATCTGCTGATAGGGTTTTTGGAGAGGGCTGAGAGTATTGCTTCCCGCAACAATGAAGGAGTGCTGCTGAGTTTCTCTAGGTACCTGCCTAACTGAGGTCCTTCTGAAATGATTACTTGAATGCTGGTGGGATTTCATTGTATGTATGGTATTTTTAAGGATTTGTTAGGGCACCTAGGGCCGTGGATGGGTATCTTGCTATTGTTTTAAATCTGAACTAATTCATTCATTCATTCCCACTGAAAGCCAAAGGGATTTGTGCTCTGAGGTCACTGAGTCACTTTTGAAAAATCCCTCCCAGGCAAGGTATCTCATCTAATCTGACCTAACCAGCACCCCATCGCCACAGCGCTTTCATTCTAATACATCTCCTAGAACTGAAAGGCAATTAAACAACCTGAGGGTGGGAAAGGAAAATAACCCCCCTGACTTTGCTCCCATCTAGGCTATTGTCACGTGTTTGGTCTTTTCAACTTGGTTATTATGTCATTTTGTTCTTTTCCCTGAGGCTCTGTTTCTTATATGTGTTCTTAATCATTGTTCCCATTGTTGATGTTATGTGTGGGAGGGTGAAGGGGGAGGAAATAGCATACGTTATGTCCATAAAGCAATCAAAAGTTTTCTAGATTTTTTTGTAAATACCCTCTTTCTCATTCCAGAGCAATGGCATGGACTGAGTTACCACCATTACTTGGCTCACTATGGGATCTCAGCAACCATGGCTATTGTATTTGCTGGAGATATCTAGAGAGAGAGGTGGGGGTTCACTCACTTGATCATCCTATTCATTTAGGGTGAAATTCACCACACTACACGCAGAGCCCAAGTAAACCGGCAGTGGGCCAGATCCTTGGCTGGTGTAAATCAGTGTAATTCAGTGGAGCTATGTTGATTTACATCAGCAAAGGATTTGGCCCTTTGTGGACAGAAAGGGGAGGATAATATGCAAGGTGCACTGAGCACTATGGCCCTGACCCTGCAAAGAAAGCACTTAAGCACATGCTTAATTTAAAGCACATATCTGGCCCCAGTAAATTAAAGCATGTGCTTAACTGCTTTGCTGGATCGGGGCCAAAGCACTCAGCTCCTTGCAGGATTAAACACTAACGAAGAGCTGAAGTGGAATACACATCTAGTTCTCAAACTGAAGGCAGCTAAGAGGCTGCCACACAGTTACTATTCTAGTGGAGGGGTTGGAATAACAGCAGTGCTTCCCCTCAGTGCTCCCTGTGCCAGGGATGCTGGCCAGTGATTCTCAGTAAGCAAGGATGCAGTGACACCTTTCCTGGCCCGCTCCCAGCCTCTACCAAATACTCGTCTCCACAGTGGTATATTTGGAGCTGGCATGGAGCTCCCATGCACAGAGGCTAATCAATGCTCTTTCTCTCCCTGCATCCCTGGGAGGCAGTGTGTGTATGTGTATAGGTTAGTTGTCTAATTCCCATTGGTTTCAATGAGAATTAGATACCTAACTCATATGCTTTTAAATATCCCACTAGGTGCTCATATGCATTTTAGGGGCCTGAATGCCTTTGTTAGGAGCCTAAGTCCAACTGACTTTCAATGAGACTTAAACTAGGTAACTTAGGTGATTTTGAAATTTTTGTCCTAAGGGCCTAAGTCACTTTTGAAAATGGGAATTAGGTGTTTTTGAAAATGTTGTAATTTATTACCCCCTCTCACACACACACACACACACACACACACACTTGATTACATGACCTTCTATAGGAGTCAGTCAGCTCCTTAAATGCCTCCTTACTGAATCTTCACAGTTGACCTAGAAAACATATAAATGTTGTATGAGGTCCTTTCCACCTTGCAATGGGTCTTTTTCATCTCTAACCCCTATGATTGTGTAAATGTACTATAGGGAACAACCTTGCATTGGCAGGGAGATACTGGATTATTTAATAGGTTTTTTTCCATCTCAAACCACTGTTGATTCTAAATTACTTAGTTGTAAGGCATGTTAGCCATCTAAAGCCTTATGTCACCTATTGAAGAATGATTTGCAATGTGAATGAAATCTCTTTGAATGAAAAATAATATGAAAGAGACGGTCTGAATCCTTTAACTCAGATCTCATTTTGTCAGTTGGAAACTTTCAAAATTGCATATAACTGGTTTGGAGCTAAAATGTTTGTTGCTCTTTCAATGCTAATTTTATTAAAGAAGTCAAATTTTTTGAATGTCAACATAAAAAAGAAAAACAAATCTATTTACTTGCTGAAGCATTTTGCCTCCCAGCTCCGACTAGGAACTCTAGACATATGCAAAAATGTTTTCCTT